CGGAGGAGGGCTTTCTCTGCGGTGGCGCCCAGCCTATGGAATTCACTGCCCAAAGAGGTCCGCCTGGCACCGTCGTTACTGGTTTTTCGGCGCCAGGTAAAGATCTTTTTATTTAAACATCATTTTAATTGTTAAAATATATGATCTGGCCAGGGCAACTTCTTCTTCCTTCTCTTTTCTCCCCCTATATTATTTATTTACTTATTTTATACTGATAATGTTAATTTTATATTATTATGTTTGTAACTCATTGCATTTTTTGTATTTTTGTATTTAATGGTAATTTATTATGTGCTATTGTATTTCAATGTATTTTATTGTGTTGTAAGCCGCCCCGAGGCTTCGGCAAGGGGCGGCATAGAAATGTTATAATCGTCATCATCATCACCACCACCACCACCACCACAGGTGTGTGCTGGGTGGGCAGGGAGAAAAGGTGCACTCTTGCTCTGATTCCTGTACTGAATATGGATGGAAGCAAGTCAGGATAATATATCACCTGATCCAGACCGTCTTTCTCTGGTATCCCACATTCATCTAAACCAGAATGTGTAGAGTTAAGCGAATAACCAAATACTCTAGCCTAACCAGCTGATGGATTGTAACTGAAAAAATATTTTGGCAGAATAATACAATTAAAGCAGCATTTTAAAACGGTTTGCACAACAGACAATTGTTACGAAAAGAATTTATAGCTATAGCTATTTCTGCACTCAGAAGACATGATTAAAGAAGGATGCTTAATAAGGTCCAAGCACTTAGTATAAATCATTGTGAATGCAGTATACTTAAAGACAAGGGTTACCATAAGGGGAAATAAAACCAAAATGTTATCGGCATGTGAGGGAAAAAATAAAATGTTTGGTACAGAAATAAGACATCTACCTTTATGAAAACACATTTAAAAATATTTTGGAATGCCTCCAAGGTAACCTCAGTTAATACTACATAGATCTTAAGTATACACTAGAACACATTTGACAGGCATAGAGGGAAGTCCTGCATCAAAACCCATGCATACCTACTCAGAAGTAAGCTGTATCAAACTCCCCAGAACTTACAAGCAAGTGTGTGTACTATAGAATTTAAAGGATTTTTTTAAACTGCACGATTCAACTGTGCAATTAACAGCAACAACCATAACAAGCAGATTTACACCTCAGCCATAAATGTGTCTACATAGAAAAATACTCATTTATTTCAGTGCAGTTTGCTTTCAACAAGAAGCTTCAAATCATAGCCTGTGGAATTAATGGGACCTACTTTTAGATAAATATGTTTACAATTTGGGTTTTACTCCAAACCCTTCAGCTGAAGTGGCTTATATATTGGCCTGTTAAATGTAGATTCTCCAATTTTGAAGATGAAAGAGCTGCAACCTTTCCCATGACTAATTCAAAAAGCAAACAAGCACGTTATATTAACTGAGTCATTTGTGCACAGCTCATTGTCTGTAACACTAGTGGCTCTTGGCGAGGCTCCCCGTTCCCTCTAAAAGCACGTCCAAGCAGTTCAGTGAACCACAAGGCACGACGGAGCCATCATGAAACATACTTCTACATACGGACCTAATTCACCAGCCTAGAACACTGCTCCAGGGTAGGTGGCAAGAGTCAAATTCATTCTGGCCTCCCTCCAAAGAGTCAAATTCATTCTGTCTCCCCTGTGACAAATTCCATGTGCCTAGGAGGCATTTGGACTTGTATTTCTCAAACAGCAGCCCTCTGTGGAAATACAATTTTCGAAGTAGAAGTTTGAAAAGCAGTTTCTGCAATGGAGTGGTGGTGTAAAGCACGAAAGAGGGGGAGTCAAATTCCATTTAATATGATCAAGATCTGAAGTAATTCCTTGGGTCACAGTCACTGTATCCGAGAAATTAACTTAGATTTCTGTGAAAGCTATGGAATGGTTTCTCTATTTTATTCAGAAAGGTTATGTAGAGTCATAATGTTTACATTTTTAACTTATGATTATTATTATTTAATGTATTGTTGTAAGCCGCCCCGAGGCTTCGGCGAATGGGGCGGCATAAAAATGTTTTAATTAATTAATAAATAAATAAATAAATAAATAATGAAAAACATAATTCCTTGGTTATTCCTTTAGAAATCCTTCCTGGGATCCATCTTATTATGTTAGTTGGAAGTAAGAATCAATCCCTAATAGACCATCTCTATACATGACTCTTTAGAAGACAACTGAGGCCAAAAGGACTAACTTGAGGTAACTTACATTCAATCAAAGCAAAAAATTAAATTAGAATGGGTTCCTTTGTTTCATTAGAACTTATCCTAACCCTTTGCCAAAATATGTTTCTCAGCTTAAAGGCTGCAAATTATGTTACATTTTTAGTGTAATAGTAAACAAGCATAAAATGCATCAAGAATTACTTTTAGTTCATTTTAGGTGATTGCTCCTTTCATAATTGTATTTACAATATGTATTTAATTTCTTCCATAATTTGTGAGAAGCCAAGAATTCAATTTTAAAACATTTCCAGATCACTCTATATTACATAATCTTTATGCCATAAAGGATCGGGCTGTATTAGAACTCTAGACATGCTTGGTTAGTAGCAAACTCCTTTGAACCCTTGGCACTTCTGCAGAAACCTACTTGGGTCTAAGCGTCACAAATGACCCTCTGGGGGTAATTCTGCCCAAATGCAAGGCTTTTGAGCACATGTTTAACTCTTCCATTTAAATACAGGTAACCTGAACATTCATGAACAAAATAAGATCCAGTCTTATTTTGACTGGATCATATCCATGACTTTTTGCTAAACAAATGTCTAAGGCTAGGAATTGCTACTGTTAACAAACCCAATGGCTTTCAGATGCAATTGAATTTTAATTTTTCTTTCCTTCAAACACCAGCTTTGTCCGAAAAAGAAAAGCTTCGCAAAGCGACAAGGGGGCCTGGTTTGCAAAAAACGTAAGTTCAAGCGCCCACTAACTTGTACACAGTAGTAGTTGCATGGC